CCCAGCCATCTAAAATGGGATCTGATGCCCTCTTCTGGCATGCAGATGTACATGCAGATAGAACACCATATACATTAAATAAATCTTAAAAATTGTTAAAAAAAACAATAATGTGTTAATAGTTACTAGATGTATAAGAAAACATTTTAGATTATTCAGCAATGAGGTGACTTGTATAAGAAGAAAACATATTTAGCGAGGATCCATCAACTCTTGGAGAAGAAGAAGACTGGCCAGCTTCAAAACCTGGGCTTCGCCTGTGCTAATTCAGCGTGTGGATTTTGCTTGTTTGAGCACATTGCTTGAGGTTAGATGAGACAGATTAATAGTATTAACTTAGGAGTTTTGACTGTACTTATTGTAAGCCATGAATGCACAACCTATGCTTTTCTGAAATAGTTATCAGAAGTCAGAAATAAATAACATGTTAAGATAATGACTTTGGACAAGGCTAGGGGTCATCACTGAGGGATCTAGGGGAGACAAAGAGGACTTAGAAGTTCTTAATGTGTTTAGTTCGTGCTTGCTGGCAGATGATGGTGGCAGTAACTGAAGTAATACAAACTGGAGGAAGAGCAGAGTTGTAAGTTGAAAAAAAAAAACAAGAGTTTTCTTCTTAATGTACAAACATGAGGTGCTTATTCTTTGCACTGCTGGTATGTCATGGATATTCAAGGGGACTGCCTACATTGGAGTTTTAGTTTTGGGTCTCATCAGCAGACAGATGGTGTTTGAGGTCTCCAAGTCAAGAGAATATCCGAGAAAGAGAGGAGGACCAAGTTATAAGACACAGTAACACTTTGAAATTGGGCAGAGGTATCTGAGATGGAAGCAAAGAGATGCCTATGTCACATAAGTCAATAGAACTGTTTCTGAAAGTAAATTGGCCACTGATTTCAGCAGCTGATTAAAAATAGAGTTGCATTTTACTTCTTGGATGGAGGCCATTGTGGGCCTTGAAAGTAGCCACAGTTGTGGAGATAATAATCCAGTTAGGGTGTGATAAAGAAATCGCTGTGGGTATTCACCCTCAGAGAGTTGCACACATTGACCAATAAAGAAGATAAAGGACAAATGTAACCTAATACAGCTAAGAAACTTGTGCCCCAGAGAAGTGTTATGGTTTGAATCCGAAATACCACCTACAGGCTTGTGTGTTGTGAACACTTGTTTCCTAGCCCATGGGGCTATTTTGAGGGTGATGGGGCATTTAGAAGGTAGGACATGGCTACTAAAAGTCACTCATGGTGTGTGGGGTGGGGGCTTGAAGGTTATATCAGCTTCTGGCGCCATCATGCCCTCTCTGCTTTCTGCTGCACTCCATGGAAGACTTGCTGCCGAAAGAAAGTGCCCGCTGCCATGGGGCAGCAGGTTCTGCCACCCTGTCTTCCCCACTGTGCTGGATGGAGAATCTCAGGGTCCATGGGCCAACAAAGTAAATCTTCACCCCCGGGTTGGTTCTGTCAGGTATTTTGGTCAGCGTTAAAAACAAAACACAACAAACTATGAATGCAAGAAAGACAAGGCCTTAGGAGATCACTTAATTGGCAAAGTGATGAGGACATGAGTTTATATCTCCACACCCAGTGTAAAAATCAGGTGCCGTGGTACATGCTGGTTAGTCCAGCACGGGAGAGATGGAGCTAGGAGGATCCTGGGAGTTTGTGGGCCAGCCAGTCTCGTAGAATTGGGGATCTCCAGTGACAGTGAGAGACCCTGTCTCATCAGGTGGAAAGCCATGAAGGAAGACACCCAAAGTCAACTTCTGGCTCACACACACACACACACACACACACACACACACACACACACACACGCATGCACGCATGCATGCACGCACGCACGCACGCGCACACACACACCATATAAAAGAAAGAGGATGAGGTTTCAGGAGCAGAGTGAGAGCAGAAATGTGGCTTGACTTCTACTCATTTAGTGAGTCATTTGGTGAGTCAGAAAGTCCAGAGTGAGAGGGTTCATTGAAATTCTCACTTCTTTCTTTTTCCTTTCCCCCTTAAGCTGTGCATGTGTGGTTGTGGGAAGAAAGAATCAAGAGAGAGGACTTGTTCTGTTGGAAGAGAGTTCCATAGAGCTGCTCCTAAGGGAGGTGCACTAGCAACACCCCCTTACCTGGACGAAGGCAGGGAAACTCACTGTAGACTGCAGGGCGTCGAATGGGGCTGGGAAATCTGGTACAGTATATGTCTTAGTAAAAAAGACAGGATGGAGAGAGGAAGATGGAAGGGTGGAGGAAGGAGAGAAAGAGAGAGAGAGAGAGAGAGAGAGGGAGGGAGGAAGGGAGGGAGGGAGGGAGAGAGAGGTTTTACATACTTTTACTTTTAGATATGACGGGTGCAGGCCAATAACATTTGAGAGAAACAAAGTGAGCATGCCAGGTTGAGAGCCAAAGGGACACTGAGGCCCAAGGTATCAAATCAAGGCTGAAAGTGACATCTTTATACAGCTGATTTTAACATCTGCAAACTGTAATGACAGACTAGCTATAACTGGAAGATTAATTACAAGTCCCAATCTGAAATTCCCAAACGTAAGAAAGGATGAAAACAGAGGTTTTATTTGTCTATTTATTTTATTTTTGTGGCATAATATGTCCTGAATAGAGAGGAAGTTATTTATAATTTTTGTTTATTCAACTGAACTTGAATACTAAGATTTATAGTTTTCATTGAAAAAAAAAAACCTCACCATTGAGTACTGCCCAGATTCTACTGGTGATATTATATAGCACACCACATATTTATGTGCTGTTTTCTAAAACAGGAACCAGTTTGAATTCCAACAGTAATAATTTTGGCCAGCAAAAATTTGGAGGAAATGATGTAAATAAAAGATACAAAGAGATTATAATCATTAGAATAATTAACAGAATGGAAAAGGATCCATTATTAAAATAATTGACGGTTCTAAAAGGAGGAAACAAAGGGCATACAATGTATTCAAAGATCTAACACAAGAAAATGTCCCTGAGGTGAAGGAAACCCTCCACAACAGAGCAGAGCAAAAAAAAAAAAAAAAAAAAAAGACGTGAAATGTTTGCCAGAGTGCTCTGAGTCTCAAAGATAAAAGAAGAATTATTTAATCATCCAGGCCAAGAACAAAAAAGTAGCTAATAAAGGGAGAGGAAGGACTTACCTCCATACCTCACCACAGCCATGGGGATGACAGAAAATGCCAGAGTGTGGTCTGCAGAGACCTGGAGGGGACTAAATATGGTCCAGGAACAGCAGAGCCCGTGAAGATCAGTTGAGTGGAAGCGAAAAGACTCTAAGTCTCAAATGCAAGTTAAAGCAGAGACACAGCTTCACATTTTTCTTGATCACCCCAGAAATTAGTGCAAAGCTTAGGTTCAGCAAAAACTCTCGAATAGCGTCACTGTGGTACGTGCAATGGGCCATTTCAGACCACGCATCCATTTACTTACAGCACTTAACGAAGGCTGCACACAGTAGTTCTGTCTTTCCAAACAGTGAAAGGACTAGGGAATTCTGGATTCCAGTGTCCTCCTAGCTTACAAGTGGAGGATATCTAGTATTTTACTTTTGTCTTTTAAAAACATTCTTTTGGGGACTGAAGAGTTGGCTCAGCTAGTAAAGACCTTGCTGTGAGTTGGGTTCCTTTGGCACCCATGTGAAAAGGTTGTCACTCCAGTGCTCCTGAGTGAAGGGCAGGAGGATCCCCAAAGCTCGCTGGGCAGCCAGCCTGACTGAATCACCGGTCTCAGGCTCAGTGAGATATCCTGCCTCAAAAAAAACATGGTGGAGAGCCTCCAGATGTTACCACCTCCGGCCCACGCAATTATTCACGACTAATTGTTTACTGTCCCTTGCAGTCACTATTTAGAGATTCTGGAGAAACATATTTTTAGTTTTTCCGTGGTTCATCTTTGCACATTGTGTCTTGGTAAATTCAACTTCCCCTCTCCTAAAGTAAGTATATCCTTTGGCAGTTACGCTAGAGAGGGAGTCCATGCCTTTGGTTCTGTTTGGAGAGTCTGTATTTTGCCTTCATTTTGGGCCCCGTGAAATTAACTTAGTACTTCTAAGTGAGAATTTTCTTTGCATGGGGTCTTTAGGGAAGTTGGGAGGCTGGGACCACAAGGTTCACTTGCTGGTGATGCAGTTTTCCTCTGGTTGCTTGAAGGGCTCCCCCTGCAGGATGACTTCTGTATATAGGAAGTTTCTCCCTGTCCTACTTGTCTGCTCTTTCTTTCCCCCTCCCCCTTCCCTCCTCTCACTTCCCCTCCCTTCCCTCCTCCTCCTCCTCCTCCTCCTCCTCCTCCTCCTCCTCCTCCTCCTCTTGTTCTTCTTCTTGTTCTTCTTGTTCTTGTTCTTGTTCTTCTTGTTCTTGTTCTTCTCCTTCTCCTTCTTCTTCTTCTTCTTCTTCTTCTCCTTCTCCTTCTCCTCCTCCTCATCCTTTCTCACATCAGTTTTTTGCTTTTCTTTTTTCCTATACTGTCACAAATTAATTTTAGAGTATATACCACTTAAAATCAAAATCAAGAAAATTTTAATTTAATTGGAGTTTCATTTAGCACAGAAATTAATTTTGAATAAATTGATATCTTCAGAATATTTAATATTCAAATGTAGTTAATACTACTTGTACCCATTTGCACATGTTTTTTCATTTATGTTTATTGATATATCTAATTAGCTTGAATAATTTTTGTGATATGCTTCTTTTTGAATAAATTATTTCCCTTTTAATTTGGTTATTGCAACACTACAGAAATCAGATTTTTGTATTTTCTTCTGTTTACATAGGTAAGAATCTCATAGTATATATGTTTTAAAAAGTTGAACAATATCTCCAGAAATAACAAGTAATTAGACTTTTTATATTCTACCAGAAAAAGTTTTATTTTATTAGACAAAATTGGATGACCAAACAGTACATTTTATTTTTAAGTAGGCAAAGAAAGAAAAGGAGTAACTGAATATGGCTAAGAGGGAAAAATTAATGTATTTAATTTTCTTACTAAAGGTTATATTTGACTATAGAAATTTCTGGCAATAATGGTTGAATCAAATTTAAATTGGGAAATAATTGCATAGAATGTCTGAATGTGTTCAATTATATTTCAAATGACTATGTATGTATGTATGTATGTATGTATTTACCTGCCTATCTATCTATCTATCTATCTATCTATCTATCTATCTATCTATCTATCTGATACTTTCAGATACTGAGAAATTCCCAAGCTCAGAAAGTACAAATCATGTGTGAGAGATATTGTTAAATACGCCCAACTGTATAAGTATCCCCAACCCAGTATGAGTGAATTCATGCTCACAATTTAAAATAATTTGATAATAGAAAGCGAACAATCAATTTGCATCTTAGAAATGCATGAAAAAGCTTAAGTAGCTGCTGGATTTTTGTAAAATCAAAGCAAGTCAGATCAATTTACTTCTTTTATGAAAGTCCACAATGATAAGAAGCATTCAAAATGCAAAATCTGTCTTAAGTGCAGCAATGCTTTTGTTCTATTGTATATGATATATTATCTAGGATCCAAGAAAGTATGATGTGGTGTATAATTCCCAGTGGCTGCTCATTAAAGCAGTTTCAGCTGGACACTGATATTAACAGGCATAGGGAAGGCAAAGGAGTCCTCTGAAGTCAATAATTTGATATAAAGCCTGAACAAAAGATTTAATATGCCACTAACGCACCTACTTGTTGCTGTCTGGGGCTCAATAATTTTCAAATCAGTATTGATGTATTTGATTAAATGATTATAAAACATTGACACAGGTGGAAAAAAACTATAAAATGTGAGGAATACTTTGCAACCAGCAACAGAGCATGGAAAGGCTAAATCAGTGAAAATTTAAAAAACATTCCCAATGGCTTTATGGGATGGAAGTTGAGTTGACTATACTGTTTTTTAAAAGAAAGGGAGAAGGAAATCAGGAAGGAAGGAGAGAGGGAGGGAGGGAAGGAAGAAAGGAAGGAAAGATGGAAAGAAGGAAGAAGAGAGAAAAGACAAACACAAAATTTAGTGTTTATGTATGTGTCATACAAGGTAGAAAAATGTCAGTGGTTCTCCCCAGTTCTAACTATGCTTTAATTAACATTATGTCTGCATTTCACAGACCCAGTCTGGCCCACATCCTAAGTTTAAATACCCATGATTTCTCCATTTTGGTTAAGTGTCTGACCACTCACCTATATGCCCAACTCTGACATTCACATTTTTTAAATTATCAAAAATACAAATTTCATGACAGAAAAGATGTTATGAAGTTCACCTTCAGAGGTCATAAGTAAATTCTTATGATGACAGAACTCAGCTAGCCCATTCTGATGTGTTTTCATCTGTGGCTACTTTAGCATTTTGGAATCACAGTGTTGAGTAGATTAGGCTAAAACCATACCATTCATAAAGTCTAAAATGATTGCTGTTTGGTCCTTTGGGTGGAGAAAAATCTCCTGACCCTCCACCTCTTCTTTGATTTCAGTCTCTTCTGCAGTGCGTGAAATTTACCTCCAGCATCTAGAAGTTTTCCTTGTTGTAATAGAAATGAACACCCCGAGGGTCCGCTGATGAATACAAACGGCACATCTTTTGAAGGGTCTTTGACATGGCTTTGGGTCCACAGAAGAACACGCCAATGCTGCTGCTGCAGGTGCAGTAGGAAAAAGGAGAGAGTGTTACCTGGGCAAGGCCAGTAGGAAGCCATGGCAGGCCTAGGCATTTAGGAAGCAGACATGGTGGCAAGGTTATTTATTTAGTTTCTTGACCGCGTCCACTGCCTCTTAGCATCCTTCTCGCTGCCAGCACATTACTTCTAGAGCCCCAGTGATTCCCAGAAGCACAGGAGGCAGGGACCCAGGAAGGCGGAGACTGGAGGGGGCTGTGATAATAGAGTAGGAGGGGAGATACAGTGGGTTTTGGTCAGGTGGATTTTTATCAGCCTCCTCTTGGATCTGTGGATAGAATGTAAATTCCCTGAAAGGAGGATCAGGATGGTTGACCCAGTTTCTACATCCTAGGACCTTTGCTGAAGGAATTAATAAATGCTCATGTTGATTATTGCCTGCATGATCTTGGGCAGGGCTGGAGATCTTGCATATATAATATAAAGATAGCAATTACGTTGTGCGTTTTAATGAAAGCAAAGTAAGACAGTATATTCAAAAAGTTCTTAAAAGGGTCAGTTATGACTAATGTCTTGTTCAACCTTGTCATTTTTATAGATAGTAAAATTTATATTAAAGTAATAACAATTTGATTTATTTCTCCTACTAGAATTCAATTTGCAAAGAAGGCTTAAATGAAGAGATGGGAGGGACGAAGGGTTGTTGAAGATGCAGTTTCCCAAACATTGTAATCTCTGACCCTTGCACTTCAGAAAATAGTGTGGAAGAAATAGCTCTGCGTTACATCACAAGAGAGCTGCTGTCCCTTGTGACTCTGCTCCTTCACAAACAGGGCACTGGTTCAGGCGTTCATATTGTCTCTTGAAGTCAGGACAGGCCAACCCCTATTGGAAAATACAAAGGCCACACACAGCTGTCCTCCCTTGTCCTCAATATTACCGTGCCCTGTGGTAGCTTTCTTTTCCTAGTCTCCAGTATACGCTGAAGTAGTTACTCAAGTCTAGATCAAGAGCACCCAGCCATATCACTGTGTGTAAAATCGTTAGGCAGACGGTTAAATTGCAGATTCTTTGGCTGGGATCCATGAAGAGTATTGTTTGGTATGGAGCCAGGTAATATTGAGGCAGATGGCCCTATGAGCTGCCTCAGAAATTCTTCAGATCTAGGGCCAGCCCTCCCTACCGCCTCTGTTCTTCCCACCTGGCTTTTGTTAGTCTTTGGATGCTCCTACTCCTCTTCGCTCATACAGTAGCATGATTCCCTGCCATATATCAGAGTCCTATTTTAACCATGTGCTCCAGGGCCATGATGCCCGTGGTAGAAAGAGATGGTTTAATCGCATTTCCAGCTAGCTCCATTGGAACTCACCAAATGGTTTCATTTACAAATGGGAATATATTTAAAATGCCCAAGTGCCGCTTTCAGAGATATCCTTCCCGTGACTCCATTTGTGAAAATACTGTTTTTCAAAAAAAATGTTTTGTACTGAGTAATCTGACTTGAGGCAATTTTCAGGTGTTTATGGAACTAGAAGGCAAACGACTTAAGGAGGTTGATGTAAGTGTCGGGTGCATTTATGACCTCCCAAACCCCTATTGCTTCGGATATGTAATCAGGAGCATTGGAGACCTCTCCTCTCAGGGTCTCCTCTGCACTCTGAGCTTCTCTCTGAGGATGAAACGAGGCATGGCAGGCCCTGTGCTTGGTCTGTGGTAGTCTCTGTAGCTGGTAGTTTCAGCTGTCAGCACCACACATGTCCACAGGGCTTCACCTGCTCCACAGAGCAGAACAGAAGATGGGATGTGGGATAAGAACACAGGGACTGCTAGAGAACGAAGGGGCTGGCCTTTTGAGCTCTGTACAGAAACACCTGAGTGAAAAAGGTCAGGCAAGGTCCTTCCCAATGAGGAGTCACAGCTTAGCTTTGGGCATGATGCCCGGAGGTGTCCCGACATTCATTTTCAAAGGTGCTGTTATGGGTGGTGATATTCCTCGCATTAGTGTGGATGCCACCAAAGAGGTTGCCACCGGCCCATTCCCAACAGACTGTGACTGCCCTTTCGTCTGCAGCCACAGTCGCTGTCGGAGAAGCTGGTGGCGCTCTTTGATGCCCTGCCTTTAAGACCCCGTTTCAAAACAGTCTGATTGTGGGCTGCCAGGCGTACCGCTGGCATTGCCAGCGACTCACAGCTCTCCTGCCCCTTTGAAGTCGTGGCTATTGCACTGTGCAGCTGAGTGCAAACGTGTGTGTCTGTACTCAGGGTGCATAACTGTCACGGTTATGCAATCACCAGGTAGTCTCACAAAGGCCATTCATTATCTACCCTGGCCTGTGACCCGGAGATCAGCCCTTCACCGTCTCCCTTCATATCGCTGTCCCCAAGGAAGGCATAGTCCTCACCTCAGCTTTACCAACCCTTGGCACTTATGACACCAAGTATGGGGTTTCCTGATCATGAATGCATCCCATAAACCAGGGAGCTGAGAGAGTCTGCACAAAACAGTGAAGGCACAGATGTGGCAGGCTTTTCTTTTCCTTTTATGAGGCAATGGACAAGTACAGCAGAGCCTAATGGGATTGCCAAAGAAAAAAAAGAATTCTTCTATAAAAATTTAATTATCCACAATTGCTGAGAGTTAAAAAAATAAGATTCTGGGCAAAAGAAACATAAAACACTAGACGCCGTTTATCCTCCAGTTTACAGCCTGCAAGCCACAGAGCCTGCACATATGTGTGGGGATGGATCAAGGATAAGGTTAATGGCACTGACCATTCTGAGTGGCTGACTTCGATGAGAAAAGGACAGATTTCACAGAGGCTGAAAAAAAATGCTTAATACTCACATACTTATTCTGAGCTCTGATGAATGGCAAAGAAGGTTCTTTACCCGCCCCCACCCCTTGCACTTGTTAAATAACCGCTATGCCCTTCTCTGTGGGATTTATGTGGGTTCCCCCCACCTCTTTCAAAAACAGTTGAGCAATGCCATGCATGAAAGGCATCCAAAATATCACCCACCAGGAGATTTCAGCCCAGCAGATAGATGGGAGTGTGGGTGTGCCTGGGAGTAATCCCACCACCTCCCCAGTTTTGCAGATTCTGCTGGCACGAGCCCTTTTCCCTTTAAATTGTATGTTTGTTTTTATGTGTTGGCTTTTATGTTTGGTAAGTTATAACCCTGTTGGGGCAGACCCTAAACCCTGTTTTTTTTTTTTAAAGTCAAATTACTTTATACCCTGAGTGTATTCTGCAAATAAAATCGATAAACAGAAGCTTCCTCCGGATTTATGAAGGCTTAGGACGAAGGCACCAAGAGCTGCAAACTGTTTCAGACAGTGGACACACGAGTTCTGGTTAATCTTCCCTAGGTTTTCATTAGAAGTGCCTCCAGATGATTTATCACATAATTACACTTTATACAACACCATCTTTCTCATAACTACAGATGAGAGTCGTGCTGGCCAGCGCTCTCCCTTTGTAACCCATGTCTCAGGCAATGCCCAGCAGCACTGACTCTCTGAGTGTACAGTGGTCAATCCTGCCTGTCAGCTTGATTCAGACTCACCTAGGAGACACACCTTAGGGGGAGTTCTGAGGGCATTTTCAGAGAAAGTTAACTGAGGAGGGAAGACTAAATGGGCTGGGGTTTCTGGACACGAAGGAGAAAGCTAGCTGAGTAGAGATACTCATCTTCTTCTGCTTCCTGACCATGGGTGCAATAAGCGCACCTCCTGATTCCGCCACCGTGATGAACCGCAAACCACCAACCCAAATAAGACCTTCCTCTCTTAGCTGCTTCTCGTCAGGTATTCGGTCACGGTGATAAGAAACGGGACTAATGCAGTGTTCTCATTACTGGAGTTGTTCGTTTGGAGCTGCCGATAATAAAACCCACTTGTGCCTCTTCTCCGGCACACCTTCCAACAACTGCCTCTTCTGACACCTAGAACTGGATGCTTAGGATTCTCATCTCTGCTTCCTCTACCTCGTTGTCCTTTTGCTTGTTCATGCTTACCAGTAGATATGAGAGAATGAAGCTGCTTCCCTTAGTGGGGCAGGGGTGGGAAGGAGGTAGAAGAGAAAGAGAGAGGGGGAAGGGGAGTAGCTGGTTCCTAGTATTGGATTCCAGAGAATGGCGGGACAATTTTTCTCCATCCTGTCTTTTTATTTACCCGTGTTCTGCTAAGACATGTAAAGGTATAAATAACAAAAAATGCTTCCATAACTGTTAATTTTGCTGGAATAAAGTCATCAAAGTACATTTGCAGAGTAATAAATCTATCCACTATTTACTTATGTCCTTAGTCCCCCTACTAACCCGTGAACCAGATGCCATCTGGTAGAAAAGGTACCATTTAGATATGGGGGCAATTTTCCATCATCCATGATGGTGGCGTTATTTTTCTTACAAAGCTATAATTTATCATGTGCTAGATTTACATTTAAATTTATTTCTTTGACTGTTCTGAACATTTTAGTCATATAATGAATGTTTAGGATATCCTGTTAGATAAAGGACCTTGTATGCTATAATCAGAATGCTAATTTCCTAAAAATATCACTTAACAACATTTTTGCACATATGCATGTACAAATGAGAATTGAAGGGTGTGTACACAGGCAAATGTGATTCCAGATGGACACATTTACTCAATTTAGTAAAAAGGTATTTTTTACATTTCTGAAAACAATGGGTGTCTAAAATGTATGTATGTCATAATGATTAGAAGCTCCACTCACCGACACCTTCATTATGTCTGGGTTAGGTTCCTCTGTCCTAACAAATGATGGCATTCTTTTTTGTTTTTTCCCCCTTCATTATTAAAGAATCACTCCTATTGAAGTTTTGAAAACTGGAAAAATCTTGGAAATTTAATTAATTACATAAAGTTCACACCTACAAGGCATGGTGAAGATATTAACAGATAAGTCAAAAGCAGCAAACTATAAATATTTCCCGAAGTATAAGATCAAAAACTGAAGCCCTATGGAAAAACCTCTTAGTCAATTAACTAACAA